ATATTTCTTGCCACTCATCTGGCCCACAAAGTTTCTGTGGAGAAATCAGATGATAGTCATATAGATGCTCCCTTGTAGGTAATTAACTGCTTTTCTCTTGCTGCTTTTAAGATTCTTTCTTTGTCTTTAACCCTTGGTATTTTAATTATGATGTGTCTTGTTGTGAGCCTCTTTTGGTTCCTCTTGTTTGGGACTCTGTGCTTCCTAGACTTTTAAGTTTATTTCTTTCACCAGATAGGGGAAGTTTTCTGTCATTTCTTCAAATAGATTTTCAACATCTTGCTTTCTCTCTTCTCCTAATGGCTCCCCCATAATGCAAATGTTGATGTTCTTGAAGTTGTCTCAGAAGCTTTTTACACTATCTTCATAATTTTGGATTCTTTTTTTTTTTTTTTTTTTTTTTTTTTGCTCTTCTGATTGGGTGGTTTTTGCTTCTTCATATTCCAAATCCTTGATTCAATTCTCAGAATCCTCTACTCTACTGTTGAAGTATTCATTATATATTATTCTTTTTTAAAATATATTTTATTATTGATTTTTAGAGAGAAATGGAAAGGGAGAGAGAGATAGAAACATCGTTGATGAGAGAGACTCATTGATCAGCTGCCTCCTGCATATCCCCTACTTGGGATCAAGCCTGCAACCCAAGCATATGCTCTTGATTGGAATTGAACCTGGGACCCTTCAATGAACGCTCTATCCACTGAGCCAAACTAGCTAGGGCTCCCTGTAAATTATTCTTTATTTCAGTTAGTGAATGCTTAATTTCTGACTAGTTTAATATATATATATATATATATATATATATATATATATGTGTGTGTGTGTGTGTGTGTGTGTGTGTATTTGACATTCTCCCTAAGATCCTTGAAAGTCTCACTACGTCCCTTGAAGGTTCATTAAGATCCTTGAGTAATCTTATAACAGTTGTTTTAAACTCTGTATCCAGTAGCTTACTTGCTTCCATTTCTTTCATTTGTAACATGTTTCTTTGTCTCTGCATTTTGACTGCTTCCCTGTGTTTGCTTCTATGTGTTAGGTAGAGCTGCTGTGTTTCCTGGAATTGGTAGAGCGGCCTTGTGTAATAGGTGTCCTACAGAGCCCAGTGGTTCAGCCTCCCCAGTCACCTAAGCCGGGCACTCTAGGTGCAACCCTATGTGGGCTGCATGCACATTCTTGTTGTAGTTGAGTCTTGATTTGCGTCCCTGGGAGGAATTGGCCTCCAGGATCAGCTGCACCTGCAGTGGAAGAATACTATGCGGGAGACACCTGTATGGAGCAAGACTTGCTTCAGTGGGGCTTGGTGCTCACTGAGTCTGCCCCTTGAGTGTGTCACTTGTGGATGTGTAGAGTTGTAATCTGCTATGGTCTGAATCTGTCTACTGAGCCACTGACTCTAGGGCCTCCTGGGAGGTGCAAAGTCAGCCACTGCCTGGTGCCACCTAGCAGGAGCTACAGAGAGATCCGGAGATGACCGCTATTTGTATTGGGCTAGGAAGTGTCCAGGCAAGGCCCAGCAGTGAGGCAAGGCAGGCTGGTGCTAGTGCTAAGGGTTGGGCCTTTTATTGATAAGTTTGGGCCTTTTATTGATAAGTTAAACTGCTTGTTTAAGAGATTTTTAGCAAAGTCTGAAGGCTGAACCAGGGCAGGCCATTCAAATGGAAAAGCAGCTGCAAATGGCTTTGGTGGGTCTGCAAATTGGATGGGGCAACGTCTCAGGAAATCACCAGGGCACAGTGACCAGTGAAACTGTGTGGGCCTCGCTGAGAGAAATTCAGATATGGCTACCAGTCACCTCTATGATGGGACAGGTCCCAGCACAGGAACAATGAGAAAACCACCCTGAGTTCCTGCCCAATGTCAGGCAGTCCAATTCCTCCTCGGCTTTCCCCAAAGCTGTACCCTTGCACTGGAGCTCAGAGGAATTGTGACAGTGTAAGCTCACTTGCAGGCCCTTTAAGAGGAACATCTGGGACTCCAGCATCCTCCATGTCACTCAGCCACAATCCCTGCTGGTTTTTATAGCTGGAAGTTATGGGGACTTCTCATCCCAGCTCTGGAACCCTGGACTGGGGGTCTGGTGTGGGGCTGGGATCCCCTGTTTCTCACAGGAGGCCTTGGAGATCTCCCTCCCAATGAAAGAAACACCACACATGGGTGTCGGACCAGCCCGTTCAGCGCCTCTGCCCCTCCTACCAGTCTCAGTGCACTTTCTTCTTTACTTCTCTTAAGTGTGGGACTTTCATTCTGCCTGATTTTAGGCAATTGTGGATGTGGTTGTGGGAGGTGGCACATACTGGTGTTTACCTGTGCTGCCATCTTGGTTCTGCGCTTTGCCCTGCCTCACGCTGGCACCAGGCTTTCACACCGACCACTGCTACTGCCAAGCACAGGGAACTGGGAAAACTTTTCTTTTTTTTAAGACTTAAAAAATCATGAGACAGTTGGATGTTGCCCCGGTAATGCAATAGATCCAGAGACATAGAAGCATGGACTAGACTGGCGGATCGCAGAGGGAAGGCAGGGGAGGGTGGGTTGGTGGGAAGAGCTCAACCACATAACATGTATGCATATATATATAACCCATGGACACAGACAACAGGGTGGTGAAGGCCTGGGGTAGGGGGTAGGAGCAAGCTGGAGGAAGTCATGAGAAAACGGGGACAGAGGTAACACTTTCAACAATAAAGATTATTAAAAAGAGGGGGAAAAAGAGTATCAGCTACAGTCTCCAAAACAGGGGGGGGAAAGGAAAAATCTTTCAGTCTCATTCACCACATTGATTGTCTAAAACAATAACAACATATGGTTATCTATTTACTAACTCAAACACTTGAAATATTAACAATAAAAAGTCTGCCAGATTAAAGAAATTTTTACTCATTCTTTCCAGACAGCAAGGTTCTCTTTCCAGTCCTCTTACATAATAGAAATGACGTTTGCCGCTTGGAGACAGACAGACAAATTATATTTTGCCATCTTGTACAAAACAGCTTTTATCGGTGTAAAGTTCCATTAGGAGCTTGGAATTTCCTGAGTGTTTATGATGTAGAGCTAAAGGTGTGTGCTCTAGAGTCAGGGCAGACTGGCCTTGAATTCCAGCTGTTTTGTCGCTCTGTGCCTCAGTTTCTGCATCTCTAACATGGGTACTATTTAGACTGGAAAGCAGTTGAACCCGGATTTGACATTTCCCAGGTTCTCCTGAGAGACTGTGTGTGAGCAGAGGCAGGGTCCTGGCTGTCTTGCTTAGGACAGTGCCTGCCATGCAGTACTGTGTGTATCTGAATAAATTAAGGCACTGTTCTAACCTTCACAATCATTCCCACGTATGTATCGTTATCCTCATTTTCAAGGTTAGCATACTGAGGCAGATTCAGTAACAACCCAAACGGACAAGCAGGAAATGCCCAGACTGGAATTTAAGCCCAGTCAGTGAAGCACTAGTATGTGAGCTTTAAATTTTGTTTGTTTGTTTTTTATTGATTCAGAGAGAAAGGGAGAGAGAGAGAGAGAGAGAGAGAGAGAGAGAGAGAGAGAGAGAGAGAGAGAGAGAGAGAGAGAGAGAGACATCAGCTGCCTCCTGCATGATCCCCAGATCGAGCCCCTAACCTGGGCATGTGCCCTGAGTGGGAATTGAACCAGGGGCCTCGTGGTGCATGGGATGACATTCATCCAACTGAGCCACACTGGCCAGGGTAAAACCCATAGTTTTTGCTTTGTTAAATCACATGGGTCTGCTCTTTCTCATCTTGTCTGTCGGTCTGGTCCTAGGGAAGCCCTGAAGAAAATGAAGGATGTGTATGAGAAGACACCTCAGATGGGGGACCCCACTAGCCTGGAGCCCCAGATTGCAGAAACCCTGAACAACATTGAGCGGCTGAAATTGGAAGTGCAGAAGTATGAGGTCAGGGAAGACCCTGGGGAGGGGCGGGGGCCGGCCAGCCGGGCTTAGTCACCGCCTGGGGGACAGGGAGGAATTGTGGGGAGGCTGCAGCTGTTTCTCATCACAGCTTTGGGTGTGCATGGGTGACCTCAGGAAACATCTGAGCCCAGACTGGGCTGACCCCGGAGCCCTGCCCTGGAAGTGACCACATGGCCCCCTCCTCTCAGGCTTGGCTGGCGGAAGCTGAGAGCCGGGTCCTGAGCAACCGGGGAGACAGCCTGAGCCGGCACACCCGGCCTCCGGACCCCCCAGCCAGCGCCCCACCCGACAGTAGCAGCAGCAGTAACAGTGGCTCACAGGAGAACAGGGAGAGGTGAGTGGGGTGGCCACGGTGGGTCTGCCTCCCCCGGGACATTGGGGGGTGGGGGGAGCTGTCTTCACCAGCTTCACTCTCCCCTGTCAGCTGTGAGGAGCCCCCCTTGGAGGAAGGCCAGGACACCCCCATCTACACAGAGTTTGACGAGGATTTCGAGGAGTCTGCATCCCCTATAGGTCACTGTGTGGCCATCTACCACTTTGAAGGTGAGCATCGGTTGCCTGGGCAGGGGCGGCGGGGGGGGGGGGGGGCATCTGGCTGGCTTCTGTTGAAATGCCCCTAAAGCAGGCCTGAGCCCACCACCACTCCCGCGACAGGGTCCAGCGAGGGCACCATATCCATGGCTGAGGGTGAAGACCTGAGTCTCATGGAAGAGGACAAAGGTGATGGCTGGACTCGGGTCAGACGGAAACAGGGGGGCGAAGGCTACGTGCCCACCTCCTACCTCCGGGTCACGCTCAACTGAACCCTGCCAGAGGTGGGAGGAGGGGGGGCTGCCGGCTGCTGCTTCTGGGCCCCAGGGGGCCCCAGGACCTAAGCACTTTATTTCTGCCCCCGTGGCTTCAGCTGAGACCTGTGTAACCTGCTGCCCCCCACCTCCACCCTACGCCTCACCTCAGATGGACCCGCTGTGCCTTCTACCGTTGATGTACATACTCATGTTTTAAATCTTTTTGCCTGCCACTCGGCTAGGGCCGTTTTGTTTTATATATATATAAAAAAAAAAAATATGCAAAGTCCTTGGATTCCATGCTTTATTAGGAGGTTTAGATAGTGGGGTTAGATATTCAAATGCCACCCTCCTCACAGGCCACCCGGGGTACGAGGAAGGGAAGGGGGATTAGGGCACACTTTGGACACACTCTGTTCCTGAGAACTGGGCCCTTGTCTGCAACCAGTGTAGGGAGAAGGGTGGCCAACCTCCCTCCCATGTTCACAGCGACTTCCTGAGAACAGGTAGCGTCTGTTGAGCACCTGCTGTGTGCCATGCATCCCCCACCCATTATCCCACGTAAATATCGAGCTTTCATTCCCATGACAACGCCTGGGAAGTTCGGGCTCACTCTACGTGGAAGGCAGGCACAAAGAAGCCAGGCAGCCTGCTGGCAGTCACAGCTTTCTGAGAGGCATTTGAACTCTGGCCTGGCACAGAGCTTCCAGTTCTCTTATCATGAGAAGCTACACATTCACCATTTGTGGGATGGGGGTGGGGGTGGGGCCGGGAGAGGGCAGCCAGCGCCTCCACGGGCCTGGGTCTCCTGTGGCTTAGGGGTGAGGGTAGGGATGGGGGGGAGGCTGCCCCTCACCCCAGGATCCCTGTATATTTTTAGGGGGCAGGGTGGGCTTTTGCAAATCTGACCCCCCCTTCTGCAAGCCAGGGTGTGGGTCCTCACCCTGTTTGGCTCAGTGAGCAAACTGGGGGTGATTTCCCAGGTGTCCTGCTGGGGTCACCAGAAGTCTGAGCATCCCCGTGTGAGAAAGGGGGTCTGGCTCTCAGCAGTCAGGCTCCAGGCGCAGGGACAGGACACTGAGCACCTGCCGGAACTTCTCCAGACGACTGTCCCTCGGAGCACCCTCACCCCGGCTCCCCCAGAGCAGCCTCCGCAGGAAGTTAGTGGTCAGGGCCTCCTGCAGGTCCGGGTTCGGCCGGAATCCTGTGGGGGGAAGGGCCAGGTGCACTAGGGGTGGCGCCCAGGGACCTACACTGCCCCTCCTCATATCTGCCTTTTCTCCTGGGGACTTTGACCCAGCAGGGCCCTGGAGGAACTCTGCCCCCAAGTACTCTGGACAGTTAGGTGGGGTTGGTGGGGAGCGGGGAGGCAAGAGCCGCGGGTAGGGGGGGGGGGCAGGGGGAAGTGGGCGTGGCTGAGGGGATTGGTCGGTGGAGGTGAGCTCTGCCAGGGTGCACGGGGATGACACTCTGTTCCTAGTTTGAGCTGCTAGGGCCCCCACCTTAGAGGCTGTGCCTGGAGATGGAGCCGCCCCAGGGTCAGAATTTGGGGTCCTGGGCCACCCTGTGAGACACACTTGGCAATTGGGATGGGTGGCAGTGGGAGCGTAGGTGTGGCGGGGGGGGGGGGGGGGGGGCAGGGCCACCCCCTTTGAGTGCAGGGCACTTCCGGTCATCACTGCTGGTTGCAGAGCTGGCCTGGGGGCTCCTGAGAAGAGTTGTCCCAATTTGGGTGAGACTTGGTGGGAGGCGTGGTGGGAGACTTATGATCCCTGGCGTGGTTTGGGGGCACCAGGTTAGAGCAACCCCGCAGGTTGCTCCTAAGGGCATGGCCCTCTGGCAGCCCAGCGCAGAGGGGGCACCCACCTTTCAGGCGCCGGGCCGCGGCCTTGCGGAACTTGGGTGCGTCCCGGGCCATCTGACGCGCCCCCTGCAGGGTGCGCAGCAGCTGCTCACAGCTCTCCTCCGGCGGCCCAGGGAGTTCCTCGCCTTCCAGCAGGCGCACCGCGGGGGCCACGTGAGGCAGCGCCACCTCGCCGGGGTCGCAGGGTCCTGGGGGAGAGGGGGGAAGAAGGGCCTGGGGTGGGCCTTGGACAGGGGGCAGGGCCTGGGGTGAAGAGGCTGGAGCATTGTGCCAGGCTCCCTAGGACTAAAGTAACCAAGCAGAACTTGAGCCTAGCAGAGCTAGATGGAGTCAAGGGCGTGGTTTAAAGCAGGCGCGGGGCCTAAGGGCTGGGGCCATAGGATGCATAGGGTGCAGAAGGCAGGGCTTAGGGTAAAGGGGCGGGGCCTAGGGATTGGATCCTAGGACTAGTTAGTGTGGAAGGTAGAGCGTAGGGGCTAGGGGACGGGGCGGGGGCGGGGCCTGGGGCGGAGGGGCGGGACCTGGGCTAGGGGGCGGGGCTAACTACCAGAGCCGCTACTTGGCCTAGGACTGGGTTAGGATTCTGGGTTTGCATCGGCGCGCGGCTCCAAAGGATGCCACTCACCCGCGCCCTCATCCAGCGCCCGCATGAGCGGCTTCAGCTCCTGCTCGAAGGCCACTGCGGCCTCGGTGTGGCTCCTTCGGAGCTGGCACCACGTTTGTTCCAGCCGGGACACCTGGGGTAAAGACCTTGAGCATGCCTCCACTTTCCCATCACCTGCACCCGGGCTTCCTCCCCATCCCGGCACCCCGTGCACCTGGGGCATGAGCAGGACGCCCATGACAGCGGCCAGTCCGGGCAGGTCCCCCGCCGCCCCGGGCCGCAGCGCCAAGGCCAGCTCCACCAGGCCCCTCAGGGCGGCCGTGCGCTCCTCCAGCGGCCCCGTGCAACCCAGCACCGCCAGCGCGCCAGCCAGCACCAGCACCTCGTGCCTGCGGAGGCAGAGGGCAAGGGTCTGGGGGCAGTTGGGAGATTTGCATTTGGGGGGTGAGGGAGGACGGGAGGTGGCATTGCCCACCCCCCAACTCCCTCGCTGAGTAGGGAGATTTGGAGATGGTGGGAATTCCAGGTGGCTGGCTCACCTTTCCAGCAGCTCTGACCTCAAACGATGGCCATGGGGAAGTGTGAGCAGCTCCAGGCCGGAGTCAACCCCCATGGCATCCCGCTGAGCCTGGGTCACTCCCAGCAGGCCAGCAGCCTGGGAGTAGGAGAGTTGGGGGGCATGGGGAGGAGAGGTGAGTATGTGGATGTGGGGTTCTGTTGGGCCTCCACCCTGACTAGGGAGAAGGGATCTGGTATGAGATTCACCTGGCAGTCTGCCAAGAGCAGGTGGAGGGCAGTGCTCCCCGGATGGTGCTCCAGGAATAGGCCTCGGAGAGTATTCAGAACTTTGGGCTCCAGGGGCCGATTCTGGGGGCCCAGAAGGCCAGAGGATTTGCCGGGGTGGCAGAAAGAGATGTCTGCCTGTGGTCTTGCAAAACTTTTCTCCTCCTCTTCCTCCTCCTTCTCCTTCTCCTGGGCCTCCCACCAGGGGGCTTCTGGCTGTGGGCATTGGAGGCCAGGGGGTGTTCCCTGGGCGCTGGGCACGCGGAGCACCAGCTCACAGTAAGTTGGGGGCTGTTCAGAGGCATCGGGCAGCACCAGTGAGGACGTTCGAGTTAGCTTGGTTGGCGTCTTAACATGAAGCTGCCCATCTGAGGCGCTGAGGCTGTCAGCGATGGAGCCCAGGAGAGCTGGGGGCTTCAGCAGCTCAGGGTCACTACCCATGCAAGTCAGGGCAAGTGTGGACCCAGGGGAGGCTCCTGAGGGTCATACAAGAGGGGGTGCAGAGGTACACAGAGAAGATAGTTGGGTGGGTCCTGGTTCATCCACTCATTCAGTCAGTACCCGGGCAGCCCTACCTGTCTTGGTGTGGCTTGGAACTTCTAACAAATTCTCCAGTATCACCGCTACACGCTTACCAATGGTTTGAAAATAAACTTTCTTTGGCACTTAAATAGTTTTGCGAATTCTGAATACCACGTTTTACATTCGAATCCTTTGGTTTTTGCCCCTCTGGCTGAAGATGGTGAAGCACTGACTGAAAGGTCCCAGGTTCAACTCCAGTCAAGGGCATGTACCTTGGTTGCGGGCACATCCCCAGTAGGGGGTGTGCAAGAGGCAGCTGATCAATGATTCTCTCTCATCGATGTTTCTAACTCTCTATCCCTCTCTCTTCCTCTCTGTAAAAAATCAAAAAAATATATTTTAAAAAAAACATACTAACCAAAATTCACAAAACTACATAAACATCAAAGCAGTGTAATTAAATGATGTCTGTGGTTAAGTGTGTGGTATGTTGAGTTCCAAGGTTATTAGAACTTAAAAGAAGTGTATCCAGACTTCTGGGAGATTCTGTACTTACAAAGCACTTCAATAGACCTTGTTACAGGGGCTTAACAGCTTCCCACAATTCCTAGCTCACTCTGAATGCCAGCCAAAGTCCTCACAGTAGCCCCAAAAGCTCGTAAAATCTAAGCCCCCAGATCTCTCTCTGACTCTCCCCTCTCTCCCACTGCTTCAGCTACACTCACCTCCTTTTGGCTGAATGAATAGTTCAAACTCTTATTCTGGCCCCAAGACCTTTGCACTTGCTGATCCTTCTCCCTAGGCCACTCTCAGCCCCCAGTTGTCTACATCTTTCCTTTCTTTACGTTCTCAAAATCTTTCTCCACGGGGCCTTTCCTGACAACTACTTAAAGTCTCCCTACTCTGTTGTACTTTTAATTTTTATCCAAAATTATATATAATTGACTTATGTTGTTGTTCTTGATTTGTCTTCCTCTAACAGGATGTTAGCTTCACTAGGGCAGAAACCTTGGTCTTTTTCATTCATCGATGTATCTCAGCACCTAATGCAGTGCCTGGCACACAGAGAGGACTCCTGTTGAATGGGATGGGGGGTGGACAGGGCAGATGAGGCAGACTGGGCATGAGGGAGGAGGAGACTGCCTTTAGGTAAGATGATTGGGGTAAACTGTTTTTGAAGAACATATGGTGGGTGAGGAGGAGTCAGAAAAAGATTAGGGGAATGGGCAAGAATAATTCATGCAAAGGCCCTAAGCCAGGAACAAATTTGAAATGTTCTAGCAACTGATAGAAAGATTGTGTGACTGGAGCGAGGGCACGTGGCAGGGTTATTAGGGAGGCCAGCCATGGTCAGAACACACAGCGTTTCTTAAAATAATTCCTATGTGTTTTTTAACCTACAAAGTTCCTATGTGTTTTTTAACCACTTTGAGAGTCTCAGCATCCCCATTTCCCAAAATATTTAAGTCACCTGCCCAACATCACTCAAAGGATGAGGGGCAAAGAGATTCCTGAGCCATGGGCTGTCTGCCAGACTCTCACCTGGGTCAGAGTGGCCTTCTCTTGACCACCCCACGTGTTCCAAACCTGCAGGCTGACTGTCACTCCACTTCCTAGCCCTGGGGGACAGAGATGAGAGAGATGTGAAGTCCCAGCCTAAGCAGGGCCACCCCCACCAATGCCCCAAACCCCTACTCAGGACCATTGGGTCTCAACCAGGGTGCTCTACCCCTAGGGGACTTGGCAATGTCAGGAGACACTTTTGTTTGTCACAACTAGGGACTAGTCAATAGAGACCAGAGATGCTGCTCACCATCCTATAAAGCACCTGACAGCCTCCCTCTCCTCCAACCAAGAATGATCTGCCCCCAGTGTCAATAGTGCCAAGGTGACACTCGGGTGGCCCCAGGAAGGTCGGGAGCCTATGAGTACCTGAGTAGCTCTGTCCGAGACAGGCTCTCTAAGAGGGTGTCCTCACTAAAGCTGCGTGGAATAGGCCCTTGCCGCATCACCGGGCTGGAGGCCACAGCCCCTGTAGCCTGAGTCAGTGGACGCTGGCCATGCACATAGCTGCGAATCAGGGCAGGCAGGCTTGGGAAGCGCTCATCCTCCAGCTGATAGAGGGCTGTGGGCCGGCCTGGCCGGGGACGCAAGGCCACACGAAGCACCTCAAAGTGCAGGGCAGAGCCCCGCCAGCGGCAGGAGATCACAGGGTGGCCCCCACAGGTCCTAGACGCACGGACCAAGAAGTCACCATCTTGCTGAAGAAGAGCCTCTGCCTTCTGGGGATGGAGAACACGGGGCAGGAGGTTTAGGTACAAGCCCAGATCAATAGTTCATGGTACTTCAACACCCTTACCCCCCCCCAAAAAGCCATCCTAGAGACTGGGTAGTTTTGTACCAAACCATTTACCCTTTTCTCATGGGCACACCTCTGGACTACATTTCCCAGGCTCCCTTGCACTTAGAGCTATCATGTGACAAGATCTGACCAATAGGATGAGAGTAGAAGTACAGTGGGGACTATCCACATTTGGCCCATAAAAACCCTCCTGCAAAGTCCTACGGGTTCTGCTCTGGCCAGTGTGGTTCAGTTGGTTGAGTGTCATCTAGTGCAACAAAAAAATCGCTGCTTTGCCGAAACCGGTTTGGCTCAATGGATAGAGCGTCGGCCTGTGGACTGAAAGGTCCGGGGTTCGATTCCGGTCAAGGGCACGTACCTTGGTTGCGGGCACATCCCCAGTAGGGGGTGTGCAAGAGGCAACTAATCGATGATTCTCTCTCATCGATGTTTATAACTCTCTATTCCTCTCTGTAAAAAAATCAATAAAATATATATATTTTAAAAATCGCTGTTTTGATTTCCTGCCAGGGCACACACCCACTTTTCAGGTTGGATCCCCTGTCCATTGTGCTGGCATGCAGAAGGCAACCCATGGACGTAAAACATCAATGTTTCTTTCTCCTCCTCTCTCTAAAGCCAATAAAAAATATTTTAAGAAAATACTTTTAAATCTTACAGGTTCTGTCCCGTATTTGTCAGCTGTTGTCACCAAAGCACTGGGGTAAGGCTGAGCCACAAGATAGAAAGGTCCTGACTGATTTCTGGAGCTCCGCATCCTCACTCCTCAACCTCCTTGGACTGTGACATGAACAAGGCCTAACTGAGTATCGCGTTTAGCCAGTGGCATCTTGGAAGGGTTTGTTATAGTTGCTAGCTGATGTTGACTGGTACTGCTTCTAACCTGAGTAAATATACTGTACTGGCTTGTTTTACAAAGGTGACTTCAAAATAAGCCATTACTTGATTCTTCCAGTGTGTGACCCATAAATCCTGTATACAAATTTCTAGCTGTCTTATGACTAGTGTGAAAACGAACAGGGGCTGAGGGCTCTAACACCAGAGAGGCAAAGCAGAGTTGGTGATAGGGGCTAGGGACTGAATAATATATGCAATGGACATATGTGTAGCCCTACTGGACGCCAGTTGCTGCTTTAGGTGTAAAATATATGAACTCAATCCTTTACCAAAGTTAAATGGTAGGTACTATTATCCCCATTTTACGAATGGGCAAACTGAGGCCCAGAACAGTTAAATACCTTAGGCTAGGTCACACAGAATGTAAGTTGTAGGGCTGGGATTTAATCCCAGGATGTCTGACTCTGGAGTGTGGGGTTTTCACCATTAAGCTATACTGCCTCTCATGATTTGATTGGATGCCCAGGGTCCTAGGACTCCTGAGAGTGACGCCTGAATTGAAGATGAGAGCAGGGAGCCTTGAATTGAGAGGAAGATGGGGCCCTGGTGGCCATAGGTGCCCGGGACACAGAGAAAGAGGGAGACAAGCAGAGCCCAGGGGTGCTTTGAGGGAGCCAGGACCTTTTTCAATCTCCATTACCATCTTCAACACCATCCCAAAGGAAGTGATAATTTAAATATAAGGAGTGATGTGCCACACCAACCGAGCTTCAAGACAATCCCCAGTCCCCCAGCCACCTCTTCCAACAGCCCTTGATCCTAACTCCCACATCTAGGGCCTTGGAGTCTCCGACAGGCCATGGGCAGGAGAGGCTCCGCATCACATGGTGCTGAGGGCCTGCAGGAGGCAGTACCTGGCGGGACAGGAGGCCGTGGTACCAGGGTTGGCTGGCAAAGTCCTCTCCATTCTGTGGCACCTGCATGAAGCTTATGGGGGCAATGAATGTTGGGGCTCAGCTCTGCACTTTCAACAGGCCTCAGTCTTCCACATCTGTAAAATGGGAATAATTATTCCTGCTTCCTGTGTGGCTGAGTCAGCCTTTCTATGTTCCTCTTAGTTTTCGTTGTATTTTTTATTTTTTATATGGAATACTTCATGAATTTGTGTGTCATCCTTGCATAGGGGCCATGCTAATCTTCTCTGTATTATTTTAATTTTAGTATATATGCTGCTGAAATGAGCACAGTTGGTTTTTGTGTGTGTTTTTTTTAAATTTGTTTTTGTGTTCCTCTTAGTTTTGAAGACAGCAGCCCATATCCTATCAAACCTTAAAATGCATTTTTCTCTCTCTCTGAGTATATGTGTGTGTGTGCATATGTGTATGTGTGTGTGTATATATATGTATATATATTACATATATATAACATACATATATAAATTAAACAAGTTAATCATAGTCAGATTATATGTGTGTGTGTGTGTGTCTGTGTGTGTGTATAAGCAATATAGATCTAGATATAGATGTAGATATAGGTATATGCCAGATTACAGTTGACCCTTGAGCAATGCAAGGGTTAGGAGCGCTGACCCCTGTACATAACTTTTGACACCCCACCCCCCCAAACATAACTACTAATATCCTAAGATTGACCAGAAGTCTCACTGATAACATAGTCAATTACACATATTTTGTATGTTATATGTATTATATACTATCTTCTCACAATAAAACAGGCTACAGAAAAAAAAATGTCATTAAGAAAATCATAAGGAAGAGAAAATACATTTAGAGAATTTATTGAAAATAATCTGCATAAAAAATAATCTGTATGTGAGTGGGCCCGTGCAGTTTTAGCCCATGTTGTTCCAGGGTCAATTGTTGGTACATATAAAATCAGGCTATGAGTCACTTTAATTTAGAATTGGCTGTGATGCCATGGAAACAGCCATGCATTCACTGGGACTTTACAAAGGGAGAAGATCTGTGCACTGCTTTAAAATAGAGTGGCATTTTATGCAGATGACATAATGATCCATGTTATAGAGATTTAATGAGCTAATTTACTCAAAACAATATTTATGTGGCACCCGCTGTGTGCCAAGCGCTGTTCCAGGTGCTAGAGAACCATCAGTAAACAAACAAACAAACAAAAAACTCGAGACCATTGCCAGTCTAGTTTAGGAGAGAGCGTTTAAGAAAATAAACAGCCCAGCAGGCATGGCTCAGTGGTTGAGTGTCAACCTAGGAAACAGCTCAGGGTTCAATTTTAGGTCAGGGCACATGCCAGAGTTCAGGCTCTGCTTCCAGCAGGAAGTATGCAGGAGGCAGCCGTTCAATGATTCTCTCTCATCATTGATATTTTTATCCCTCTCTCCCTCTTGCTTCTTCCTCTCTGAAATCATATATATATCTATATATCTATATATCTATATATCTATATATCTATATATCTATATCTATATCTATCTATCTATCTATATCTATCTCTATCTCTATCTCTATCTCTATCTCTATCTCTATCTAGATATATATATATATATATATATATATATATAGATAGATAGATAGATAGATATAGATATAGATAGATAGATGAACGTGCAGATGTGTCAGGGAGAGCCAAGATCTAGTGGTGGAGTTCAGATTTTCCCTAGGGTGGCCTGGGAAGGTCTCGGTCAGTACAAATAGAATGATTTCGAGGGAACAAGCCCTGAGGTTCTCAGAGTGAAAGAACATTCCAGGCTGAGGATAATTTAATTTACTAAAGTTCATAGCTTCTAAGCAATCCTTGTGCACACAAAAGGATTTGTAGGATGTAAGAAAATCTAACCTATGCATGGCTTTCCAATGTAACACCACATTTAAGGATGTGGAAATGTCAGCAAATGCAATTCTGGAGCCAATACATTTCATTATTATTATTATTATTATTATTGTTATCAAATTTAGGGCTCACACACTTTGGGACTCCCTTGATTATCACGCAGACCTGTCTCAAGTATCTGGTGGTGAAATCCCACTCTGGGGAGGAGTGAAGCAAGGGGTCACTCTCTCCACCTCACAGGGTCTCCGTGGCCTGGTCAGGATCTGCAGAAAAACAGCACCCGGATTCTTACATCATCATGAGTCAACCTAGCCGAGGGCCTGCAAAGGGCAGGAAGTTCACAGACCAGCCCTAGGTGACTTTACGGGTGGGGAGCAGTGCCAGGAGCTGGCTCTAGGCGACACATACTTCAACACCAGGTGTGTCTCCTGGATGCCTGTACACTTCCTGTTTTTCTCCTGGCCCAGGCCTAGCCTCTGTCTTAAAGAGTCTCCCAACTCCAGGTTCCTCTGCCTCATGTCGCCCTTAGTGGGCATCCAGGTGGGTCACTGACCACATTCCGGTTAGTTGGGGGAAAAGGTCAAGGTGGGCACAGGTCAGCCATAGGCTAAGTCATCCTCCTGCCCTGTGTCTTTGGGAATAATTTCCGGATATTTGGGCAGGGGAGAGATGAAGGGGGCAGAATCAGGAGAGGAGGTGAGGTAGGGGCAAACATGGGGAAAGGAGGGAGGGGGTATTCATAGCCTGTAAACCATATACGTGTGTACACATCACAGGGAGCAGCCACCAGCACACAGACACATGGAGACAGAGGGACAAACTTGACATTGAATAATCATCAATTGGCTGAACACTTACTTTGTGCTGTTCTAGACCTGGAAATACAGTGCTGATAGAGACCTGCCTTCGCCCTTGACCGTCTGCTGAACAAGACACACCACAAAATAAGAATAAGTTCTATGTGTAATCAATGAAGATGTTAAAACAGGGAGAGGTGGTAAGATGGCTGGAGGGGGCAGGGTGCTTTAAATAGTGTAGTCACCCAGAGGTGACACTGGAGCTGAGACCTCAGGAAAGAGAAGGAGACAGCGATGCAAAGGTTTGGAGAAACAGCCGTTCGGGTGCAGGGGTACAGCAAATGCAGAGGGAAGACGGAGCTTGCTTTTTATATTTGATGTTATTTAGGAGACCAGCGTGGCGGGAATGCAATGAGCAAGGAGCTCGGTGAGGTCGGCTGGGGCGAGACAGTGCAGGAATTGGTGGACCCCAAATTTCCATCTCAGGGGGATGGAATAGGAAGGGCTTTAAGAGAGGGAGGGGCACAATCTGGTTTGTGGTTTAAAAAGATGTCAGGCAAAAGTGAAAGCAGTGAGGACCTCCGTGCTGCAAAGGAAACACGCTCAGAGGAGCACACCCAGGTACACGGACACGCATGATGCACAGCGATCCAATCTGGGATTCGGCGACCCAGTCTACACGTTCGCGGACGCGCGTGGACAGACACCCAGATCTTCCCTGCGTGCAGGTGACCTCACCTGGAAAAGAGAGGACTCCTCACCCGAATCATCCCCGGGTCCTAGATCCGCCCGGGACCCTTCAACTCACCTGGGTCTGGACTCACGGAGCTCCCGAGAGGCTGCTGCCGGACTCAAGCCTGAGGTTCTACGGACGGTTCCGGGCCCCTGCCACCGGGCCAGGTGAGAGCCCAGCCCAATCACCGGGCCCTGGGCCCTTAAGACTCCGCCCCAAGACCGCGCCCCTTTAGAACCCCGCCCCCAACCGGAGTCTCCTAGGCTTTAGCCCCGCCCCCTTAGAGACTTCTTTGCATTAACCACGCCCTCTTTGAATAATACTGCGCCTCCCGCACCAGCTTGGGGAACTCCGTGCTTCCTTAAGTGGGCCCGCCCATAATTAGCATCGCCCCGCCCCTGCAGAGTGGCCACGCCCACTCGCCTCCGGCCGCCCTCAGCCCCTCTGCAGAGAATCGGGCTCCTCCATCACCCTCCGGCTGGCTCTGAGCACCCAGGGCCCCTCGGGGCGCACGCGGGAGGGGTGTCTCTCCCGCTCCTCTTGGTTCCGGGAAGGGGCGGGGCGGCCCTTTACGGGTTTTCTCCCGGAGTGGCGTGGGGTGGCGGCCGCTGTGACGTGGAAGGGTGCACTTCCTCGAGACCGCCCCCTCGGGTTTCCGGGAGCGGAACCCCGGCTGGGCGCTGGGTTTGGTGGAGAGATGCGGGAAAACACGACCGCCTCCCCCAGGGACAGCACGACGGAGCTAGACATGGGGGGCGGGGGGGAGTGTGGACATTCAAGTAGGGGGAAAGAGGTGCTGGATCTTCCGACGGGATGCCTGGAGACAATCATGAGAAAGGTGGGGGGATCGGGAATAAGAGAGAGAAGCTCCAGCCACGGTTATGGAGGGATAGAGAGGGAGGGAGGGAGGGTGGGAGGAAAGAACCAAAAAGCGGTGGTCCCAGCTAACAGTTTCTGAGCTCTGGCTGTGTGCCAAGAGGATACTGCTTGCTTGACGGGCCTCAGCGCGTTTGCGTTCACCCAGGTCCCAGGCCACCGAATGAGGTAGGCGCTGCTTCCATCACCCCCGTTTTCCAGCTGCAGAAACAAACGGAGCCTTCATTCCAAACTTGAGCCCATCTTACAGACGAGGAAGAGGACGCCTAGACAGCGAAGGATGTTTGGGGATGGAACATTTTGGTGCTTACAAGATCACAAAGCTAGACGTTTCCAGGCTGCACTGCCCTCCCCGCCCTGCTGTGGAAGGGGGGCTCAAGAGGGCTGAGGGGAGTATCTTTTCCTTAACACCGCCCCCACCCCCCACCCCTGCCTAATTTTGATATATTGGGTATGTCCAGCGAAGGAGCATAGCGCCCCCTAATGGTTACAAGAATTTAAAAAATGTAAGGGGGCGTCTAGGGAAATTGAGAGGACTCACAACCTAGTGGGATGAGAGACCGCATAGACAAGATGATTTCAGGTGGTGAGGGCTCCGATGACAGCGAATGTTTGCTAAACGTGTCAACGAACCACACTAGTAAAGCCTATTAGGAGAGAGATGACAGTGACCATGGGCAAACACGGATGGATTTGGGATACATGTCAGAGGTGGTGCCAACAGAGCTTTCAACCACTCATTTGTTTGCTTATTCTCATTCTGCAAATATATATATATGGAGCATGTATATGTGTGCCAGGTGCTGGGACGGGAAGGGAGGGGTCCCGCAGCACACAAAAGACAATTTTCTAAATAGATAATAAATAAGTATAGCTCAACCGGCATGGCTCAGTGGTCGAGCGGACCTGTGAAACCAGAGGTCACGGTTGGATTCCCAGTCGGGCACATGCTTGGTTCTGGGCTCGACACCCAGTGTGGGGCGTGCAGGAGGCAGCCGATTATCATGGAAGTTTCTCTCCCTCCCTCTTTATTCCTCTCTGACATGAATGAAAATATATTTAGAAATAGATAAATAAGTATAATAAAATATCAGGTGTGATGATCATCAGGGCTTAAAGTAGGGATAGGGTATGATCGGGTGGGATTCAAAATAGGGTGGTTTGGGAAGACTTCATGAAAAGGTGACATTGAGCAAAAAAAAACCTTTAGGTGGTGAGGGAACGACCTATGACGTTGCCAAAAGCAGGGGGAGGAGCATGTGCAAAGGTCCTGGGGCCAGACAAGGCCTGGCTTGCTGGAGGAACAGCAGGAGGCCTACGTGGCAAGTGAGAGAAAGGGGTGTGGAAGGGTTGAGGGCAGGGAGAGTTTAGGGAGGGCAGGCCATAGAGGGCCTTGTGGGTTGCATGAAGGACTTTTTACCCCCCAAAAAGGAAGGTAGGTGACAAGAGGAGAGACACCCGACTTGACTCAGGTGAGCCCAGGCGCCCTCTGGCCGTCGTAGGGAGGACAGACTGGGGAGACAGAGGGCCAGAGCGCAGGGACCTGGGCGGAGGAGGCTAGACTGGTCCAGGACAGTGATGATGGGGCTGGACCCGGGCGGGTGGAGGCAGAGAGGGGAGGGGTGAGCAGAGGGCGGATTTCGAGTACTTGGAGATGTTACTGCTCAAGGGTTGGGTATTGGGGAAGGGCAGCCGGCCTTGTGCCCAGGTGTGGCTTTGGTGGGGGAAAGAGAGGTCCCGGGAGGAAGGGGCTGGGCTGGGCGGGGCTGGCCTGCAGGTGCTACCCCAGTCATCGCCACCCCTTACGGCTCCTCCTCCTCCACCCCCTCTCCCCGCGACAGTTACAGGCAAAGAAGAGGAAGTGGTAGCTAGTAACACAAGCGGGCGGGCGGGCGGCGGGCGCCCGGGCGGGGAGGCAGCCGCCATGGAGCTGTGGCGCCAGTGTACCCACTGGCTGATCCAGTGCCGGGTGCTGCCGCCCAGCCACCGCGTGACCTGGGACGGGGCCCAGGTGTGCGAGCTGGCGCAGGCCCTTCGCGATGGGGTCCTCCTCTGCCAGCTGCTCAACAACCTGCTGCCCCACGCCATCAACCTACGCGAGGTCAACCTGCGTCCCCAGATGTCCCAGGTGAGCCCGCCGCGGGCTGCCGGGCCCAGGGTTGGAAGTGGGGGGAGAGGAGGGGAGACATGCCAGGCTGGGTTAGTGTGCTGAGCCTCTTGGGCTGGCACTGCAGGGGGCATATGTCAGCTCCTCGGCTGGCTTAGGGGAGAGTGTGTGTGTGTGGACAGAGGGGCAGTGTGGACGGTAACACTGAAATTCTGGGGTTACCCGCCAAAAGTTAGCAGGAATGCCTTTGTAGGCACAGAATGAGCTGAGCCCAACTTTAGGCTGAGGACCGACTGGCAAGCCGGGGCTTAGCCTCTCCTAAGCCCCAGGCTGACTTTGCTGAGGTTCAAGGCCCCAGGTGCCACCCTCTGGGAGTCTGGAGGGGGTGCCTAGAAACCCTCCTTAGTCAACAGGGTGCCTAAGGGTTTCAAGACCCTGCTCCTACCCCCAGATTCTGGCTCCGGGGGAGGGGCCTCCTTCCCCACATGTGTCTCCTCCTCCTCCGGGCCCCTGGGCCCCTTCCTTCCCCTCACATCTCCTTCCCCTTGGCTTCCTGCCTGGGCCTGGGGCAGATGGGGGCCTGTGACCCAGGGCTCTGCTCTTCCCAGCGCCCTCCATCCCCTGGGGGACATGGAGGCAGGACCAGGTCCTGAGCCCTACCTCCAAGAGTGGGTTCTGGGGGTTTGGGTGCCTAGGAATAGCTCCTCTTTCTCTGCAGCAATTTCTGTGAAGGCGAAGGGTCCCAGAAGGAGGCAGATTTGACTGTGACCGCCCCCGGCTCAGGAAACACATTCAAGTCCCTATTTGAATGCGGTTGGGTGGGGGAGGGAGCAGGACTGGATGCTCTCTCTGTAGCACCTCCCCTGGTTCTCTATAGCCGTCTGGGTGCTGGGTGGAAGTGGTATATGCTGCTGGGTGGGGGCTGGGGGTGCCCCACCCGCCACGGAGGTCCATGGGGACCTGTAGGCCAGCTTTTAGTCTCTGTGCCCAGATGAAAGCTTTGTCCAGAGGAGCTGTAGGCCGGGGGACTGGTGGAGGGGGGTGGGCAGCAGTTGGGCCCTCCGTAGCCTCCTCTCTGGGTTGACCTGCCATGTGCAGGTGCGGGGAGGGGAAGTGACTGCTCTGGGAGTGGGCCCTGGGGATCCTCAGGGGCATTTCCTGAGGACAGAGCCCTGGGTGGAGAGGTGGGTGGTCCCCCTTTCCTAGCCCAGGCAGGATTTCGAGAAGGAGCGAGGGATCGCTAGAGAACCCCTCCCCCATGGCCAGCCCTTCTCGACACCTGCCATCCCGAAATTGCCTACATTTGCTTATCTCCTTCCAGCACATGAGGAAGTCACTCTGCGACCTGTCAGGCCTCAGATGAGCAGGGAGGCAAGGTCCCCAGTGAGGCTCAGTAGCAGCGAATGGCGAAGTGGATAGACATAAGGATGAACTTCCACTCCTGCACGCAGCTTGCCTAAGGCTTACTCTCTGATGAAAAGCAGGGGGATGTGGCATTCATGTTTAGGAGAGCAGCTGCAAGGACTCCAGGGACCATCCTATTTCTACATTCTGGGCAACTTCCTGAACCCAGGCCCAGGCCTGACCCTCAAGGTGCTCCCGGACTCGGGGCGATGGGACTGGACATTTGCAGCCCCTTGTTGTCAGGACTGGTGGAGGGACAAATCTCTGGGCTGGGGGTCCTGTAGCAAAGGCAAGGCATTGCCTGAGGGAGTCTGGCTTTCTCCAAGAGGAGGCATTTGTACTGGGTTTTGTAGAGTGAATAGGAGCCTTCTCATTGCTCTGGCTTCCTGCACCCCGCTGTGCCAGGCCCCAGCCTGTGCAGGTGTATTCCCTGATCCTTCCCGTGTGGGAGCTCTGCACCCTCCTGCCCCTGCTCATTCTGTCTCCCTTCAGAGCTCAGCCCCATGCCCTGTCCGCGGTGGGGAGGATGGGGATGCCTGTAGGAAGCTAAAACATGAAGCCCGAGGGAGGTGCCAAAAGAACAACCTCTCTGGGTTTGCATGTCCCTGTTAACAGATGGAAGGCAGGCCCGTGGGATGTGGAAGGGCAGAGGGAGAAAAGGGAAGGGTGTGGGGGAGGGAGGAGCTACGGCACAAATAAAGGTGTGGAGGCTAGAATCGGGGTGCTTCCCGGGTTCTCTTGTTTTCTTTTCCTAGTTCTTCTGCTTTTTCCCAGTTGTTTCCAGGGGAGAGGGTGGGAAGACCATATTTAAATGTTCAGTCATTTGGCAACAAT